TCTCCAAGGAGTTCATCTTCATTCACATTATTTTATTGTAATAGGTCTCTATCATATACATACAGTACAATATGCTCAAGACAAATTTTATGGCACATCCATTGTTGTACATTTTGCAGTCGCTGGTATTGCTGTGATCTTACAGTAAAGTGACCGTTTGATTCTGTTACGTAGGTGGAGACAACAGGTGGTTTGACCTCGTGAGTTAAGAGTTAAGGTTGCTACAGCGAAACACATGCACGGTCATGTTAGATATGCCACTAGGGGCGGGTTACACATCCAGTTACAAACACTTGAAGGGTGGCGGTGTTGTCTTCTGTTTAAGACCCTTTTCTTAGGAGTACGCTACAGCAGTGGCTACTGTGATCCTAGAAAACCAGTTTCCAACCCATTTGACTTTTTTGTCTGCACATAAACATGAATGGAGGGCCACTTTGAGTTTAAAGAGCTGCCTTTGCGTGCCTATATATGTGTTTAATGTTGTTTTCCAACCATCAGAACCGTCTAACTCTGGGTTCAACCCTGATTTTCCAGTGGGAGTAAAGAATAAAGATGTAGAAGGATCTAGCATTCTCTACTGCAATACAACTCTACTAATAAATACTACAAGTACAGCGTACTGTTTAACTATACACATATGTACAACCTCTGTCTTCCAAGTGCAGAAATTTGACAACAGTTTCTTTCTGCCTGTTCGAGATAAATGAAATGTCAAACGCCATAAAATACCACGTGCCACCATCATGCATCGCCACTCTTGTCTGTTTTCATTGTATTTGTCCTCATTTGGATGAAAACCGTGCAGTGGGTTCACATGCACCCATCACGGACAAAACTGTCATAATAATTCAGGGGCTTTTAATGATTAATTTGAACCTTTTTATCTAAAGTGGAATGATTATACAACAAACAATGATTTTTCAAAGCAAATTTTTGCTGCACAAGTTCGAATTTATTCAATTTTTTTTTTCATCAACACGGAGTCAAAATTAACTACATAAACTCAAATATTTGCAAAATTTCAAGTAAATATTTAATAAGTCTTAATTGGACAAAGCCAAGGCCTATTGATTTATTTATTTTTGACAGTATAAGAAGAAATTAACAACTCAGAATTGGAAAGTCAAAAAAATTCAGTCAAGATTTTAAAAGAATTGCAGAATTACACAAGCTGGGAAATTATTTTAAAGCTACTTAATAGCTTGTTAAAAAAAAAGTTTTGTAAGCTCAATCATCCAGGTAGATAACAACAAAAAAGGTTAAATCATGTCATCTGGACCAGTTTCTTTAAGTGAGAAACATTTTATCCCCCATCCAGAGGACTTCCTCAGTCTACGACCTGCCAACCAGATATGTCCCATAGGTTCCTTCATTGATATGTTTCAAGTCAACCTTCTGTTGGAATCTCAGAAGTAGACTTTTAACACGTGCAAAACAATCAATCATCATGTACAACAATTGTTTTAGGCCAGATGGCCAACTTGCTACTCACAGACCCATACTTACAGATTCACAGACCTAGACCAGCTACCTATGGGACAGATCTGGTTGGCAGGCTGTAGACTGAGGAAGTCTTCTGGATGGGGGACGAAACATTTCTCAGTTAAAGAAACTGATCCAGATGACACAATTTAACCTTTTTTGTTAATAGCTTGTACTTCGAACCTGCTCACAAATTTGGCAAGGTCTAGAAGAAGACCCTAAATGCTCTTCTCAAGGGAAAGAAATTTGGTTTGGATGTTTAGTAACAACCCAGGAACCACCAAGAATCAAGCAGGCCGTGAAGTGAAAACTGTTGGTCCCTGTCCACAGAGAAGACAGGTCTACATGGACCGACAGTGACAAGAAGTACGCTTGGAGGAGTTCAGACGAGGCTTTCAAACATCACTGTACCAACTGTGAAGCACAGCGGTGGTTGCATCATGCTGTGGGGAAGTTTTGCTACCTGAAGTAATGGTGGGTTACACAAACGCATTGGTTTCTGATTGGATAAAGCAGGCTGACGTTAGGTGCATGGCGTTCCCGTAGAGCCAACCTCAACCCTGCTGAGCGTTGGGACTGGAAACTGGATCCATGTTGGAAACATTTTTATTTAAATTTAACAGTTCTGAAAAAAGAAAAAAGGGTCAAATATCAGCCGTAAGTACTGGTACTCCAGAAGCTTGTGGGTGGCTTCATCAAGTTTGTGGTTTGGGAGCAACTAGCTAAAAAAAAACATTTTACCAAATATTTGATGGGTATTTTGTGTCCCCGTTTATAATTTTGACCCTGTGTAGATTAGAAAAGAAACCATATTAAAACAAACTTTTGCAGTAAATTCTTGTTTCCCAAATCTTTAAAGTCACATGTCCTAAAATGAATTTGCTCTGGAAAATTACTTAAATACGTCATTAAAAGCCCCAATTTAAATATAATGTTCTTGTCCAAAATGAGTGGATGCAAATGTTCAACCTCAGCTGCATTTGACTTAAATATTTAATAGAATTTAAAAAATCTAAAACGATTGTCTCAAAAATAATTAAAAAAATATGATAATAAAAACATCAGAGTAGAACAGAACGTATGATATGTAACAAGATACTAAAACGTTCCTTTTCTCAGCTCATTGGAGTAAAGTGAGGCGTGAACTTGGTGCAGTCCCAGCAGATGTGTGCAGATGGTGAGCACCTCGGGAACCTGATGTCCTTTTTAGCCACATTTAAACACACCTGAAAGTCTAAAGTCCCTTTAGTGTTTTGTTTAATTATTTTTTTGAAAGTGCTTCACATATGTACACCTCATCCCATCCTTGGTGTCTAAATGTGCAAGTTTGGCATCAGGATTTTCTCCCCGTGTTAAAACTAAACACCCAAACGATACAAAAACTGCAAATTTATGACGTTCGCTGGGAAAACAGAAACAAAGTAAGGGAATGATGGTGTGTGTGCAAATATGAGGTGGAGTGAGCATCCTGCGGCTGTGGGTCTATATGACCTGGCAGCAGCTGTGGGGGGTGGGGGTGCAGAGCAAACCCTCTTTGGGGCTTCGATGGATGTTGACAGATAGAGTCTTCTCGTTTAGAGGCATCTGCAACGCATGGTTCTTCATGTTCCTGTGGTTCTCCCTAGCCAGGTCCAGTTCTCCCAGCCTCAAGGATCCTGAGCAGGGACCCTCCAGCAGCGGATCTCCCAGTACGTCTCCCAGAGGGGGCTGGTGGTAAAGGTTGCCTCTTGGTGAGGGGCCACCGAGGAGAGACACTTTGTCCAAACTACCAGTGGAGCCGCCCATGCACATCCTCCACACAGGACGGTCCTGAGGGTCTACCCCGACATTGCTGCCACCACCAGCACCTCCACCACCTCCTCCTCCAGTTAGGGTGTGGAACTGAGAGCTCAGACACAGACTCATCAGTTTTAGGCTTTCCACTAGGCCACTGGATGCTTTGGCTGTGCCCTTACCTTGACCTGACCCTGATCCTGGACTGGCACAGTTAGAGGGACTGTCTTGCTCTGTCCCCCGTATCTCCCTGTCCTCCGTCCTCTCTGCTCTATCGTCCTCTCGTTCTCCTACAGTTAGTGGGTCTGGTCTAAGGGGATGTTCTCTCAGATCATCACTAGTCTCTGAACTGGGGGTGAACGTGGTGTCCAGTGCTGTCGCACTGCTAGTCTTAGGGGACAACATTAGTGTTGAAGATGAAGGTATTCTGGAGTTCAAATTGAGGCTAAGACTGGGTTTTGGTGGGCAAAGTCCATGTAAGTCTCGTCTATCCTCCTCTTCCTCGTCTTCTTGGTCTTCCTCGTGGATCTGGTTAAGAATCGGGGCGCTCATACGAGACGTCATGCGATTACTAGATGTCGACGAGGAGCAGGAGGCCTTGCAGCGAAGCACGACTTGAGAAGGCAGCGTAGAAGGAGGCAAACACTTATCTTCTGCTCCTTCTTCTTCCTCATCCTCTTCCACACTAAAAAGACTCGGGCTCCGTGGTTTGCAAGGCCCCACTGATGCCAAGGAGCCAAGCCTGAGTGGGTGGGAGTGTGGCTTTGCCAGAGGCCTCAGAGCCCTCTCCTGGTCTTGTCTTACGGGCTGCTGTTGGCTGAAAGCCGGAGTGTTGCTCTCCTGCCGCTGGTTGAGGTCTAGCAGAGCTGTTTTGGGTCTGGGACCTTTGTGGAGGCTTTCAGCACTACGGGCAGGGGACTGTGGTCCGCCAGGATGGGATATAGTGGGACCTCCTAACCCATCACTGACATCCTGGTGAACATCTACCCTGGTGGGCCAAGATTGCCTGTGAAGAGTAAAACACAATTTTAACTGTTAACACGACTTTATGCATAAACTGGTTATAAAGTCGAACACTAAAAACTGTGATAAGCTGCCTTTTTCACTTTTATGTATTCAAGGATGTATATGCACGTATTATTTTTAATAAACAACAACACTGATTTTAAAACAACCCTTATGAATGCTACATGGCTATGCTAACAAAAAGCTAACTAGCTTACCATAAAGACTGGTGTGAAGAGAAAATATCTGTTTACTAAAGATGAAAAATGCAGCTACACAATTTGAGCTTACATTTTAAAGCATATTTATATATGTTAATATTTGTAATAAAAACAAAATTATACTTCAAGTGGAAGCTCAGATAGATCCTAGGTTTTTGTTTTGCAGTACGGCACCCTAAGCAAAATGTAGTGTATTTAAGTATACTAGAAGTATTCTTATTTTACACTAAAAATGAGGAAGTGTACTTGAAGTTTACTTTTTATAAACTTTATTTGATAAACTTAAAAATAGTATAAAAATGTCCCAATTTAGTCCAAACAAGTATTGAATCAGTATACTTCTAGTACACTACAAGTATGGTGTGTAGTATACTTGATATACTTATACTTAACTTAAAGTATACTTGCAAAAATAAACTTCAAATGTACTACTTTTTCTAAAGGTAATTCTGTTTTCCAGAAGAAGCTAAGCTAACCGTTTCTGAATCCAGCATTAACTTACTTTGTTCAGGAAAAGCAAAAATGAATGCATGAATTAGAAAAATTATAATTTTTGTTTGAGGACTTTTTTCATTTGTAACAACCAGAACCAGGCTAAATTCTGGCCTTCTTTCGTTTGAAAGACTAAGCTATGCTAGCTGCCTGTAGCTTAACATCTGCTGCACCAACATGGCAGCTCTTGGCAACAAAAGCTGTAAGGCCTATTACTTTCATTTAAAAGAAGTACAACGCCCAGGTTTCTTTATTGACAAAGGATGGAAACTGGAATAGAAATTTAGAATAAAATACTGCTAATTCAGGGTGGCGCGGTGGCGCAGTTGGTAAGGCTGCTGCCTCTCAGTGAGAAGGATGCTGGTTCAAATCCCGGCCCGGGACCTGTCTGGGTGGAGCTTGTATGTTCTCTCCGTGCATGTGTAGTTTTTCTCCAGGTACTACAGTTTCCTCCCACAGACCAAAAACATGCACGTTAGTCTGATTGGTAACTCTGAATTGTCCCTAGGTGAGAGTGAGGTCTCGTTTGTCTCCACGTGTCCCTGTGATGGACTGGAGACCTGTCCAGGTGTCCCACGCCTCTCACACAGTGATAGGTGGACACGGGCACCAGTGACCCCCACAACCCAAAAAGGAAGAAGCGGGTAAAGATGATGGATGGATGGATGGATGGATGGATGGATGCTGGTAATTCATTCAGTTTTCAAGCTAAACTTTTATCACCTCTTGTTGTTTGATGTTTTTTTTATTGTTGTGTTCCTTCAGTGTTTGTCAAAGAAAAAGACTTTTCAACTTCTGTCAGACTGTTTGAAAACTGACACTCAGCAGAAGCAACTTCCTGTCTGTCACAGGAAGTGCTTGTGAATGCATGTGATGAGTCTGGGTCTTGTTTACCTGAACTGGGCTTTGCTGGGACTGGGCGATCGCGTCTGGTTGTGCTGCTCCTTCTCTTGTCTCTCCCTCAGCATCCTCTCTGCCAGCAGGAAGTAGGTGGCTGTGATGTGGTTGTAATGGTTTGACTCCAGAGCCCTGGGACGATGGTATCAGAAAACCATTTTAAGTCTCACTCACATGTCAGCTGCTTCTCTAAATGACAGCTAAACCGCCTCTATGAGCAGAAAATAATCATTTAAACATGGCAACGGCTCAGGAGTGACTACCATCTGCTTGTTAAACTGTTGATAGCAGCCACTTGGGTTTTAGAAGGATGGGCAATCTGTGACAAATCTTTGTAAATTAAGCAAGAAGGCACAGCTGCATGTTAATTCATGTTTGTGTGTCTGTGCGGACGAAAGGGGGACACCTACTCAGTTATGGCGTCTCTGTCTGCGATGCCTCCCAGCACCATGCGTTGGATGATAGAACTGTGCTCCTCCTCAGATAAGCTGCGATGAGACACCAGAGGGGTGGACAGCTTGGTGGCTGGGGAGGGGTCGATACCTTGGAGCCACTGGTGGCTCTCGATCTGCTCTAGCGTTGCTCGTTGCTTCGGGTCTCTCTGCAGCATGTGACCTATAAGGCTGGAAGGAGGCACAGAGGGCATAAGTGTCATTAATAACTAAAGAAACACCTAGCTGTGGCTTTAGGAATAATTAGATAAATAACACAGATAATTATTGGTAAGAACATGTTTATAGGCTGAAAAATGCATCACATTATAGGGATTTGTTTGGGCTTATGGCTCCTTCAAACGCAACCAAGACCAAAGTAGATCCCTCGTCTTTAAAACGCTCCAAAATGAAACTGCAAACACTGGCAGCAGCTAGCTGTAGCACGTCTGGCACAATGTGGGACAAATTATAATATTTCTATGTGATATTCGTGTGGTGCAATGATGTAAACGTTTATAAAACAGAAATTGCACGAACAATTCAACAATTTATGCACACGGTATAAGATATACAAGCAAAGGCTGTGACAAGGTTTAAAACCTGCAACAAGTTCTTATTTTGTGAGCTCACACATAACGTGTGAATGTTTATGAAGCATTCATTCTGTTGTGATCCATTTTTCTTCCGTGCGTTTTTCAGCATCTTTCTCGTCCAGCAGTTTTCAAACTATTTCAACAAATCATAAATCAAAATGTTCAGCTCCTTCAGAACAATCCTGCTAGGGCTTTTGGTTTTGGTGCAACTTTAGCTTTTTGAAACATTTATCCTTTTCTGACACTTTTGTTCTCATTTTGAGCTCATTTTACATCTTTAGATGTGTTTACAACCTTTTACTGCTCCTTTCACATTTTGTTCCAGTTCAGCTTCTTTCAGTTTCCTTGTGCAAATTTAACATTTTTTTTCAGCTACTTTCAGCTAATTGAAGCTGTTTTTCATCTGTTTTGTGCTCGTTTCAGATTATTTCTGCTAATTTCAGCTGGTTATGCTCCTTTCAGCTTATGTATGCTAGTTCAAGTTATTTCAGCTACTATTTAGCTATTTTATACTAATTTTAGTTTTTTCAGCTAATTCCACATTTTTTTCCCTCCTTTCATATTTTTTTCAGCCTAATTCAGCACAAACGTGCTCTCTCCTCTTCCTTCTGGTAAATTAAGCTTCTTTCTGACTTTTTAGCTACTTTTCAGATGTTTTGTTGTTCCTTTCAGCTTTTTTTAGATAATTTCCACTTTTTTGTGCTCATGTCTGTTTCAAGTTAAGCCTAATTGGGCAAACGTTCTTTCTGCTTTCTTCTGCTAAGTTAGGCTTGTTCTTCCATTTCAACATGTTTTTAGCTAATTTTAGCTGCTTCTCAGCAAGTTATTTTGCAGTAAGCACTCACACTGCATTTTCGCAAGAAATGCAATTTCCCTAGTTTGAATTTGGGTTGCCTGAATGCAGGGACTCACTCAGCTCTGCTATATTTGCTGTTATTAATCAACTAGTTCTAGTGTGACTTCAAAGCCATGGTTCTATTTTAGTAGCCAAAACAAAACTAACACATAAGCTACGTATATGACAATTTTGTTTTTGTCGAATAAATCAAGGATTCTCTTCACAGAAATGAGTCGGAACATAAAGTCAAATGTTTGTCATCTCATCATCTTAGATGCAAAACTGCTGCTATCAGCTGTTTTCAGACGTTCTCTGTCTAAATTGTTCACACAAACGAGGGAGAAAATGATGTTTCCTCAGGCCCACAAGGGAAAATAAACACAACACGAACAAGGGCATGAGCAAATATTGGAAGTATTGTGTTAAAATCAACATAAACTCGTGAAGTCATGGCCGAATGCTCACAGCTACAGTCATCTAAAAATATATTCAGCAGATATTTGTCTGTGACGCACCGTTAAACCTTCACATTGTTGAAAACAGGGCAGACTTTAGAGGATACACTTTCACGCAGCGCTGTGTCTCTGCTGGAGCAGCTGACTGCAGCATGGAGCGAAAGCAGGACAACAGAGAGCAGCAGAGGAGAGACCGCACCCTCACTCCTTCCTCCTTCACACATCTACAGGCATGAAATATGCAGCACCTGCAGAGTGGTCGGTCCATTTGCGTGTTTGGATTACTCACTCTCTGCATGCATGGGAGATGTGCGCAGGCACCGTGTATCTACAGTCCATGATCATAGTGAGGGTCTCGCTGTCGTTGGCCTCCTGAAAGGGGGGCTGACCGCAGACCAGCATGAACAGGATCACCCCAAGACTCCAGATATCTGCACAGACACAGAGAGAAGACTATGGTCAGAGAGAAGGAGGCTCACAACAAACCCAACCATGTGTGTCTTCACTGCTTAGTGACCTGGATTTGAGAAAATGTACACATGAGCTGTCTCCTCCCCGCGTTCCCATGAAGCATGAATCACATTCGATCATTTGAGTTATTTCCATAAATATGTGGGGACTTGGGACTCGTTTGTCTCAGCAGAAATGAGACTCTGCACGGCTGCCTGCAGCCAGCTGCATGCTCACACGCATACTCAAACACACCGTCACGGCAAAGTGGGTTAACGTGTTCACCGCTCAAGGCTTCATGCTAATGCTAATTTCACGCTACGGTTCTTTTGGTCTGATTATTTGAAAAGAGCAAGTTTTATTTTTATTTTTGCTCAGGGCTGACAGGCTGCTGTGGTCAGCACGATGCTCCACTGACACATATTCTGCTGTCAGACACTGACTCCAACAAAAACTCACAGTCAGGGTCACGTTCTGTCAGCAGAATCCGTCTGATTCATTCTGCTTTGATAAACCCCTGACACAACCACAGTTTCTGTACAAGTGCTTCAGTGACCTTTAAAACATTATATTATCTAGGGATGCATGATATTATCGGCATTGTATCGGTATCGGATGATATTTAGCTATAAAGTTAAATATCGGACATTGGCCATTCCATCAAAATAACTCACCAATATAATAGGTATAAATTTGCACTGTTCGAGTACTGTCATTGTGTTAGAAAGAGTAAATGTCATGAATAAATTTGACATTAAACATAATCCAAGTTGAAGTGTTGCATCATTTTCAACCCCCTTTTTGTTATCTGCATTTGGTAGCAGCCAAACCTACAAAGACCATGCAGAATAACGTAGCATTTTAATTCCACAGCAGAGAAAGCTATGTAGTCTCTGTAAGTAGTACTCTAGGGGAAAAAATATCGGTACTGATATCAGTTATCGGCCAAATAAGTTTTAACATATTGGATATCGGCGACAAATCCAACATCGTGCTTTCTAGGTTTCTGATTACTGTGAATGAGGCTTGATCTGTTCATGTTTGCCTCATCTTGCTTCTGATTTTACAGGTGAGTGAGAAAACCTCTTTTAAAAAGAGACACTGCATTTTCTGTGAGTGTCCAGTATGAAAGCTGAGCATCGAATGACTGCTGAAATTTGCTGAAGGAGATTAAACTGAGTCGTTAAAGCTAAAAGAAGAAGAAGAAGCAAAAGTAGCAAAACGTTAGCTAAACAGCTGGTTAACAGAAAATCATCATCAAAATTAGAAAAAAAAATAATTCTGTAAGGTATTACTGTTAACTTTGATCAGTCTCAAATATTTTTAAAATGCCTCAGAGGAAATCATCTCCCGTGCACCTCTGGTGATGTGCTTTAGAGCAGTGGGGCTCAATCCTGGTCTTCAAGGGCCACCAATCTGCATGTTTATTTTCCTGTATCCAACGTATAGAGATATAAGATGTACCCTCTTCTGTACCCTGTTTATATGCTTCAAAGGATGTACCCTCTTCTGTACCCTGTTTATATGCTTCAAAGGATGTACCCTCTTCTGTACCCTGTTTATGTCTCAAACAATGAACCCTCTTCTGTACCCTGTTTATTTGGGGGATGCACCGTCTTCCCTGACATGTCTACTTGTTTCTTCATTTCACGTTAGTTTGCAGAGCACGCTGGAGAGCGCAGTCTCTCAGTGTAACTGTGTTGGTTTTCTGTGAGAGGTGAGTATTTATTGCTCTGAATCGATCAGGCGTTGTTTCGTTCTGCTGATGGAAGGAGCAAAAATGCTGCTGCAGTCCCCACAACCACTTTACCCCTTCGCCACTGTATCCTAGCAACGGCGACCCTGCTCCCTCAATACTCGCGTCATCTTCTTGCCAAACTTCCTTCCTCCATAACTTTATTTATAAACCACGTAGTTGACACATCTCAGCGGATAACACTGTTGGCACCACTTACATCGACAACAAAAGGCCATGTAGTGTTGACAGCTGAGCGTTAACATCCCTCTGTGGACACAGTGTTTCAACACGACTGCTTCCTGGTGAAAATCGACAAACAGTCCCATGCGTCCTGACATTGTTAACCCTCCACCTGAGTGATCCTCATCCTGTCCTGCTCCTCAATATGCAACAAAAATAACAACAAAATGATACTCCCATTGTCGACTGTACACTGATACAATTTAAATGATGCATGCACTCTATATCTGTTTTTCCTAAATGCTGTTAGGTAAGTTATTATTTTTAAAGGGCAGCATCTAGAAGAGGAGGAGGAGGGGAGACTATATTTAACTTTCCATTTATCAAAGACTAAAAAGGAAGGAGCCCACACAGTGAAGAGCATGAGAGGGAAAAAGAATGCTCTTGTTATTTGAGCATCATCTGCTCTGAAAATAAATAAAAAAATGCTAATTTGTGTCTTGCAAAAGAATAAAGCTGCGTATGTTTGGACAAGTTGAGGATTAAAGACGGTTTATAATGTTGTACGGATAAAGGTAACCACACAATCACTGGACAAACACAAGGACGATAGAATAGATCCCAAATCCTCTGACAAAATGGACTGATACGGCTTTGTACACTGTTTGTACCTGATTAAACCAGCCACTAGGGAGCACAAGCCAGTGTATCTCTGGTTCTGGTCCCAAACCTGGGTAAATAGTGAGGGTTGTGTCAGGAAGGGCATCCAATGTAAAACACTTTTGCCAAACTAATGCAAGTTCATCTAAGTGATGCCATACCAGATCAGTCGAGACCCGGGTTAACAATGACCGCCACTGGTGCTGGTGACAAACAGGGTGCCGGCAGAAATTTAGCTACTGTTAATTGAAGACCACGAGGAGGGAAACATGTCAGAAGACAGAGGGAGAAGAGGAAAGTCAAGAATGCAGGACTGAAGGTTGCAACACTAAATGTGGAGACAATGACAGGCAAAGGTAGAGAGCTGGCTGACATGATGCAGAGAAGGGAGGTAGATGTTTAATGTGTCCAAGAGACCAAGTGGAAGGGCAGCAAGGTTCGCAGCATTGGAGCAGGGTTGAAAGTGTTTTACCATGGTGTGGATAGAAAGAGAAATGGAGTAGGGGTGGTCCTGAAGGAGGAGTTGACAAAGAATGTAGTAGAGGTGAAGAGAGTGTCAGATAGGGTGATGTGCCTGAAGGTAGAAGTAGAAGGTCTGATGCTAAACATCGTCAGTGGTTATTCTCCACAGGTTGGATGTGATGTGGAGGAGAAAGATACATTTTGGAAAGATCTGGATGAAGTGATAGAGAGTATTTCCAGGGAGGAGAGAGTGGTGATCGGAGCAGACCTGAATGGACATGTTAGTGAAGGAAACAGAGGATGAGGAAGTGATGGGTAGGTTTGGTGTCAAGGAAAGAAACCAGGAAGGACAGATGGTGGTGGATTTTGCCAAAAGAATGGAAATGGCTATAGTCAATACCTATTTCCAAAAGAGGGAGGAACATAGAGTGACCTGTAAGAGTGGAGGAAGGAGTACGCAGGTCGACTACATTCTGTGTAGAAGAGG